TATATCTCTATGGCTATATGACTCCGTGGGGGTGGCTGTGTGGGGATGGGGGATGTGGATGTGGGATGCGGGTGGGAATGTGGGTGTTGGTGGAGGTGGGTGGGACAGCGGATCTTCTGGCTGTTTCCAGCGATCTGGCTGCTTCTGTTGCTGTTGTAGACCAGCCTCACACACTGGGGTCCTGCAGCTAGCTTTGTGAGTGTGTAATTAAAACAACAACTTACATTTCTATAACATCTTAATGCAGTAAAATATTTCAAGGTCCATACCAAACAATCAACAAAGGAATAGAGACAAAAAAGCAGAAAATGCTGGAAAAGCTCAGCTGGTTAGGCAGCTTCTGTGAATAGAGACAGAGAGAGAGAGACAGAGAGAGAGACAGAGAGACAGAGAGAGAGAGAGAGACAGAGACAGAGACAGAGAGGCAGAGAGAGAGAGACAGAGAGAGAGACAGAGAGCGAGAGACAGTGGTTCCTCGCCAGCTCAGCCAGGATGTTAATTCCACAAGTACCTAAGCTTGCACCCACATGCTGCTGGGAACACTTTCAATTGTATCTGGCTAGACGATATTGCGATTAAAGGTTCAAAATCATATGGAGTCTGGACAGAGCAGGAAGGGAGAAAGTGTTCTCATCGGGGAATGGGTCAAAAACCAGAGGGTACCGAGTGAAGGTGATTGGCAGAAGGAACCAATGGTAAAGTAAGGATAATTTTGTTGATGGAGCAAGTGGTTGGAGTCTGGAATGCACTGCCTGAGAGTATGGCAGAGATGGCATTGGTTTGAGCTTTCAAAAGATTGCCAAAGCAACTGAAATGGGAAGAACATGCAGAGTTAAGGGAGAGGATAAGAGGCAAACCAAATTATTCTCACAGAGAGCCAACATGGACACGATGGGTTGAATGGCCCCCTCTGCTCTGCAACCATTGTGTGAGTCCAAAATCTTATTTGAAGCACATTTTCCAATTTTATCTTAATGAGGGGGAAAGGATAGAACAGAACAGAAAATTAAAGTTTACCATTCAGAGTGGTGGAGATGCAGAAGGAATCGAAAGCATTTCAAATTAAATCTGGAGCTTGTTGAGATGATCACTGAATTAGGCAATGCTTGCTGTCTGGATTCTGATTATGTGCTGTTAACTCCAACCCAAATCTGACTGATGGTTTATGGCTGAGTGCCAACAATTTCCAGCCTCATATTTATGTTACTTGGGCTGCTTGTTTCTATCTGTGCTGTTCCAGCCTGGGGAACAACCACAACAAACTAGACACCAATTGTGCAACTTGGAAAAAAAATAAACACAGCAGATTCCAAACAATACCCACTGATCCCCTGGGTGTTGCTGGGATGTGAATGTATTAATGCGAGGGTTTAGGGATATCATGATTTTGAGAGACTTAGATAAACTATGATTGTGTTCAGTTCTGCGGTGTGCAGAGTAACCCTCTCACATGTGACTCAGACGTTTGTGGTTTCAAGTCCCACACCAACAGAATGTGTATGAAACGGAGCTGACACTCCCAGCATGGTCCTCAGGGAGAGGTGGAGTACTAAAAGTGAAGCTGACAATGGTGCAATGATTATAATCAGAGATACCCAGATTCCAGAAGCAGAGTACTGCCGAAGTGTCAAAGATTAAATGGTGATGGGGGGATTACTGAGATGGGATTGGTTATCAAACTTGCTGCAATCGTACAAATGATCTCCTATGCTTTGAGAGAGCTGCAGTGTATATCTTTTCTAGATCTGTTCACCAACACAGGATCTCAGATCATTTCACTTCTGAGTCTGATGGAGTTTCTCAGGCAGAAAAACCCCCAACACTGACATTATTCCCAACTCCACCCTCACTCCCAACATCACCATTACTCCCATCTCCT